TCAATACTAAAATCATACATTTTTCAGCTTTCATTGAAATTTCAACACTAAAGAAACAAAATACAAATATTCCACTAATTTTTTCCCAATGGCTAAAAAAAAGAGGCAAAAGTCAGAAATTACTAATCTTCATATAATAAATATACTGTAACTTGGCAACATATTATAAAGAACCTGGTAATCTAGAATGCAGATGTATTCAAGATGCACTAAAGAGTAATCTACACGCAAAATTATTCATTTCAATACATACTGACTCTAATGATATTCAAAGGACATTGACTTCATAAACCCCTTACAGAAAGATGAGATTCAATCTCCACTAAAAAATTGACACTGGCTGCCTAATCATAATTTACACATTTTACACATTATAATAAACTCCCTCGAAAAGTACCCTAAAATTACTTTTTTATCAATTGCTATCTTTTAATTTAGAAGTGTTAGAAAGTTGTAGGAGTGTCTGTCCAAAAGGAAAGAAATGTGAGTAGAAACCAGCAATGTGTTGAAATAATAGTTTATTAACGATGTTTATCTTTATAAAACTGTATATATATGGGAAAATAACATCTGTGTGGCTAATAAATCACTGATTTCCAAAAGCACTACTCTACAACTAGTATGCAGTAATTTGAGAAACTATTACATTTAAACATTTAAACCTACAGGTACCTCTGACTTTGATAATTATTCTTTAAAAAAGAAAAAATTCCAGGAGGCTGAGGTGGGAGGATGGCCTTGAGCCCAGGAGGTGGAGGCTATAGTTAGCCATGATGGTGCCATTGCACTCCAGCCTGGGGGACAGAGCAAGACCCTGCCTCACCCTGCCCCCTGCTTCCCGCCAAAAAAAAAAGAATCCTACATTGAAATTTAGACCAGGCTCACAAAGATTAAAAACCCTGGCTTATCCTTGAAATCCATGCTAGTCTAAAACAACACTCTATTGGCCCAGGTGAATCTTGTGGTTTTGCCAGCTCTAAGTAAATACATCTTTTAATCACAAACAACATATGGGAAATTATTCATCTTCATTCCCACAACATAACAGGAAGTTTGGTGAAGTGTAATTTTCTTTGATGGGAAGAAAGCAGGTAATTAATCAGCTTATGTAAAATCAATTACAAAGTTTGAATACTACCATTGAAAGGGCACATGCTATGGTGAAATAACTGGAAATGTAAAAGCTACAAGAAAAATCTATCCATTTGTTCTATCCCAATTTTACTATTTAGCAGTAATTCACTGCTAAAAATTTGTACAAATACAAATAATGAAAATGTATCAGAAAAATACTTAAATCTACAACCCTGTAGATAGATAATCATAATGTTTAAACATTAAAGTCTTAAAAAAAGGAATCTATTTCCTTAGGAAAATCCTAACTTGGAATTTGACTTTTAAAAGGAAGGCTTTATAAGTGTACCATACTCTATTTTATTTATTTATTTATGACACAGAGTTTCCCTCTGTCACCCAGGCTGGAGCGCAGTGGCAGGATCTTGGCTCACTGCAACCTCCACCTCCAGGGTTCAAGCTATTCTCCTGCTTCTGCCTCCCAAGGAGCTAAGACTACAGGCATACGCCACCACGCCCGGCTAATTTTTGTATTTTTAGTAGAGACTGGGGTTTCACCATGTTGGCCAGGCTGATCTTGAACTCCTGACCTCTAGTGATCTACCCGCCTTGGCCTCCCAAAAGTGCTGGATTACAGGCGTAAGCCACCGCACACAGCCAAGAGTACAATACTTTTTAAAAAGTCATTTTATCGCCACACACAAAAAAAGATGGTAATTATGTGGCGAGATGGATATGTTAACTAACTTGATTGTATATGAAGTTATTAAGTTGTACACCTTAAATATAACAATTTTTAATTGTCAATTATATCCCAATAAAACTGGGAGGGAAAGTCATTTTTTAAAAAAAATCACTAATTCAAACACTACCAATGTGGATTTTGCTGTTTCCTGAATGCAAAGCCAAGATCAGCACTGTAGTATAGAAGAGTTGAGTAACAGCGCAAAGGTCTACTAAGGGTAAAGGCCAATCAGTTAGTTCTTTGAAAACATTTTCAAGTCTCGATACTTTCAAAAAGTATTTTCAAGTACTTAGAAAACCACTTTAAAGGAAGTCATTCCAAAAATGTCCTATTTTAAGAGTATATATCATATCTAAAATACTATTTAAGATAAAGAACTCCCTGTATGTGTGTGTGTGTGTATATATATATATACACACATTAGAAAAACTATAATTCAGGATTTCTACTATAGTCAGTGAACCCTTCAATTCCCCTAGACCCAATATACAAATTCCATTTCCATTAGGGAGTCGGAGTAGGAGAGCAAAAAGAAAGTATATGGTTTTGTTATATTTTAATTAACTCATTTGTAGATATAGCTAAAGTAACTGAACCAAAGGAAAACGCTAAAATATAGAACTGTATACAAGTACTTAAACTGTCCAACTGACATAAAGGACCAAATTATCAATGTATTCATGCAAAACAACGTTAACATTTGTTTTATTAAGCTAAAATTAAGTTCTCTCTCCACAAATAAATTCTAAAAGAAATATTGCACACTTTTTTTTGGCAAATAGTTTAAAAAAGCAGACTCTAGCTATGTTCAATTTTAAAGTGATTAATCACCACTCTAGGTACTTATCCTACAACAAATGCACAAAAGCTTGTACAATGATGTTCATTACAATGCTGTAAGGGCGAACGTCCACTTAAAGAAGAATGGTTGAGTACACTACGGTACTTCATAATGTTACATACTATGTAATAATTTAAAAGACATAATCTATTTTTACTGCCATGGAAAGATCTCCAAAATGTGGAGAAGTTAAAACAATGTTTACGATATGACACCATGTATTCAGGTGTCTCTCTCTCACACACACACACACACACACCACACACACACCCTAGCATTTGTATATATACATATGTACTTGTAAGAATGCAAACAAAAAGGTCTGGAAGAATATTCAGAAAACAGAAAATATTATTTCTAAGGGTGGCGGAGTGAAATTGAATGGGAGGGATCAAAGGGATTTTTGCTTCATTTTTATTGAGTTTCTACAAACAAAATGTATTCGTATTTTATTTGAGACACTAAAAAGCAAGAATTAAAAAAATTGCATGCTAACTTTTCTTAAATAATTTACAAACCAGAACTGTTGGCTGTAATGAGATTTCATTTTCTTCTCTTTACTTGAAATCAAAAACAAATGACAGCAACACTTTTTACCTAGCAAATGGCAAAACTGTAAAGAAAAAAATTTTGTTTGATGTTGTTTGCCAGATCTCCAAATAGAAAGGTAATGAAGAGTATACAGGAAGAAACAAAAAAGACCTTTACTAAGTACGTCCATTTTTACGAAACCAAACTTTTTAGTTGACTCGGGCGTGACCCAGAATCCTCAAAAAAAAAAAAAAAATTGTTATGCAAAACGAAAAAAGTGAAATACTGTTCCCTCAAGTATTGAAGGTTGTTTTTAGAAAGCTTAACTAAGAAACTGTAAATGCCAAGTGTGTTTTCCAGGGGTGGGAAAAGGAACGTGAAACCCTACACCACCTTTAAGCGGTCAAAACGAACTGAAGAACAGAGTGGAACTGGGAGAGCGCGCGGGGGTGGGGAGAGCTCAGCTATCACTTTTAGGTTTTGGCTCAGCGCCGCAAGAACAGTTTACACGGATTCTGTCAGGAGCGTGAAGTCCCTGAGGGTGGTCAACGCGTCGCAGCCGACACCTAAACCCTCTTGAGATTGAAGACGAGGGTGGGCAACAACTTAGGTTCTCCGGTTCAGCGGGGAGAGCGCGCTGGAAAAGAGCAAAAGAGCTAACTTTTGCTCTAAACACGGCAGCTCCTGGAGATTCCGCAAGTCCCCCGAGTCCCAACCCATTAGCGACCCCAACACCTTTACAAGCCAGTACCTTCTGCCCTCGGCCCGGCCCTCCGAGGAAAACCCAGCAAGGGCGGCGGCTGGCAGCAAGCATAGGGGGCTTGACTGGGGAAGGCACCGGCACGGGATTCGGCGACCGAGGCCCCACCCAACACCCCAGAGTCTCGGGGCACCCTCGCCGAGACGCTGTCCCACCTCCAACAGCCCCAGCAGTGCGCCCCCTCCCCCACTCTGGGCGGCGACCTCAGCGCCTCCGCCCCGGGGCCCCCGCTCACCCAGGTAGCGGCTCCGCAGCCGGGACGGGTCCTCCAGCCCGAGGGACCTTTTCCTCACGTCCCACAACAGGTGTGGGCAGGAGCCACCCCGAGACATGGCTCTGCCTGAGCCGGGTGGGAGGGGAGACCACCGCGTGGGGGAGGGGAAGAGGGGGAGGGGACACCGGATCAACACCCGAGCCGCACCGGCACCATCCGCGCGCCGGGCCTCCAGGGCGCAGCGTTAGATGGCGGTGGCAGCAGCGGCGCCTGGGCCCCCGAAGCCCGGCCGCACCCGGGCCGGAGCTCGCCTCATACTCTCCTTCTTAGACTAACCAGAACATCCAAAGATCAGCAACAGTCTCCTCCCTCGGCCCCCCTCCAACAGGAGGAGGCGGAGGCGGAGGCGATGGCGACTCCTCCCTCTCCTCGTCCTGGATACCCTCCCCGCCAACCCTTTCTCGCGAGATGACGACCACCTTGGGGACTGAGGCTGCTGTGTGCCGCGGCTGCCCTCACCGTGGAAAAATGCATTCGGGCCACTCTAACCAGATTCTTAAGTCGCTAGGGATAAAAGAGGAGTAGAGAGAGAAGCGACTCAATTCTGTAGTCTCTCGCTCACGAGTCTCCAGTCAAAAGAAGCAAGAGAATAGTGCAGCATCATCTTTAGGCACTGAAGGCCCGAAAAGCCCATTTTAACTACGGGCCTGCTTAGTCAAAGTTAAGGGGCAGTGGAGCCGGCGCAGCTTCACTTTCCCTTCTCCAACATGGCCTCGAGGGCAGGGGGTAGAAAGAGGAGGTTTCCGCTGCACCCCGCCCGCGCCTCGGGGCGGGCCAATCCTGGCGGGCAGCTCGGTCTGCGCAAGCGCGCTGCCAGCAGGGCGCTGGGCGGACTCGGTGAGGTGATTATTTTGGCACCTGTTGCCGAGGCTCCTCCTCCCTCTCTCCTGCCGGGGCGGAGGCGGACCAGGGGCTGGCCGTTGGCAGCCTCCGCCCCCTCAACCTTCGCGGGGCGCGGGCGGCAGCTTTTTGGTTCACAGCCGGGCAGCGAGAACCGCGGGAAGGGCTCTCCAGCGAGAGACGGACGCCAGGCGTCGTGGCAAGGAAAAGTGACTAGCTCCCCTTCGTTGTCAGCCAGGGACGAGAACAGAGCCACGCTCCCACCCGGCTGCTCACGATCCCTCGGCGGCGATGTCGGCCGCCGGTGCCCGAGGCCTGCGGGCCACCTACCACCGGCTCCTCGATAAAGTGGAGCTGATGCTGCCCGAGAAATTGAGGCCGTTGTACAACCATCCAGCAGGTAATGGACCCTGAATGGCTCCTTATCGAGACCTTCCTTCCTCCTTCCTCTAAAATGGACCTTTTAGAGGCCCTCTGACAGCTGCCACTAGAGGCATCCCACAGCCCAACTCCTTCCTTCCCCTCAGGTGAAGCCGTTTACTCTCCTAGCCTCTGCATTTCACCCTCTCTCCTGCAACATCTGTTTCTAAGCCAACGTATCTCAAGTCAGCGCCCTTCCCCACCTATGTGACATCCGCTGCCTTACGCACGACTCCAACCCAAACCTGACCTCCAAATTTGAGCCTTCTCAACTTCTGCGGCCACGAAAGTGTCTGCAGCCACCATGAAACACTCATTCTCTTTCTCTTTTCGAATTGTGGCATATTAACCCACGCTAGGCAGAGCTGGGTGGGTGGCTTGTCGCACTGTAGGGTTTGGAGTAAAGGTCACACTTTCTTCAGCTACTGCTGGCAGAGGCCTGCAGACTGAGCCCTCCCCCAAACTGCATGCTTTACTTCATCCAGGGTTGAGTCAGTGTCATTTCTCATCCCATAGGTCCAGTGTGTTTCTTTAAGTCTGTCCTTATTTATGAAATTGTTGAACAAGCTCTACCCAGAGCTTTTTGTGTGGACAGACCTGGATTTCATTCTCTTCTACCACTTATTATAGTTGTGACCTTGAGCAAAACCCTAGATCTCTGTTGTGTAATATGCGGTCTGCGAGAATGACAGATAACATATGTGCTTGACTCTTTGTAAATGCTCAGTAAATGTTACGTCTCTCTTGGCCTACTGGAAAACTTGTGTTCTTGTGGTTTAAAAAAAAAAAAAACTCTATAAGAAACTGAAACATTCCAATGCCTTAAGATCTAGAATTCTGTTACCTCTTCTCTAAAGTGAGTTGTAATAATACTTATTTGGCTAGAGGCTAACATCAGATATATTCTGAGGTCTCTTTCAAGCCTAAGACTTGGCAAACTAGAAAATGTGTTGTAAATTGAAAGACTGAAGTGCTACCCGAAAAGTGGCTTTTTTTCTCCTACATAGTTAAAATCTGTATTCTGCAGTTGGTATCATTAGGAAAGTTGTCTAGTTCTCCCATTATCTGATTATGAACCGGCTCTCTGTAGTCTGAACTGGTTACTAAATCTGACTTCCAGTTTGATAATGGAATGAATTGAACATCCGGATTATACTGTAGTGTAACCCTTAATATTATTTACTGCAATATTGAACCTATTATAAAACTGATCATTAAGGAGAGTTTGTTACTGATTTTAAAAGTTTTTGTTTATTTGCCATTTAGTTCTTTTAACATTTAGTTTTTTTGGAATTATGCTGTGTTTTGTGGCATAATTTGTGGCATAAGATTTTCAGGAAGGAGGGTTGAGCTATGCTTTTGGTAATAATATGGGCTTTACAGAGTCAACTGAATGTGAAGTCAACTCTGACCCTCATAAGCTTTGTGTTTTAGCTGTAGGATAAGAGCATGGCAGAGTAAGAGTAATTTTAAACTACTTAAAATAATACGAAATTGGAGAGTAGTCTTATCTTGATCCTCTCCAAGGCTTTAGTTTTTAGCCACCTGTAATTACTGCTTAAAATACTAGTCAGCTTTCAGAATGAAGAGGGATTACCTTTCACTTGTAGGATGTGCATTTCATCTGAAAATCCTTGGATTCGTTCAGTTATTTTAACCCACTTTTTCAGTGTAGTAAAAGGAGCTAGGCTTTGAAGGGAGATAGACCTACGTTTCAGTCTTGGCTATGTGACCTTGACCCTAAATTCCTGCCTTAGTTATCTCATCTATAAAATGGGAGTAATTATATAATCATTTCAGGATTGTTGTGAAAATCAGATGATCTAATGTCTCCAAAACATGCAGCACAGTGTTCGCACTTAGACTCTCAATAACTATCAGTTCTAAGATTTGAACAATGTACAGAGTAAGGATATCTATTACAGCAAAATTATTTATGATCGACAAGTTGGAGGCACACCAGTATAGAAATGGAGGAACTTGAAAAATGTGTTGACTGATGAGTGTGTAATAAAATCTAAGGAAACACTGATTATTGTCTTAAGAGTTATCCAGAGTAAATATTCAAGGATTTTGCATACTATTTTGCCTAACAGTATTTGTTATTGAATTATCACTGAAACATTTGTCTAGATTCAACTACAAGGAGTTTATTAAATGATATGAAATGCTACAATTTTAACAGTTGGAAATCATACATTGCTGATTCTAAATGTTTGAGATTTAATTTTATCGCTGACACTATGTCTCGACAGGTAACAAGAATGTGTTTTTAGTGGGGTGCGGTGGCTCACACCTGTAATCCCAGCACTTTGGGAGGCTGAGTTGGGCGGATCACCTGAGGTCAGGAGTTCGAGACCAGCCTGACCAACATGGTGAAACCCTATCTCTACTAAAATACAAAAATTAGCCGGGCGTAATGGCAGGTGCCTGTAATCTCAGCTACTTGGGAGGCTGAGGCGGGAGAATCGCTTGAAACCAGGAGGTGGAGGTTGCAGTGAGCCAAGATCGCGCCATTGCACTCCAGCCTGGCAAGAGAGCGAGACTCTGTCTCAAAAAAAAAAAAAAAGAATATTTTTATGTATAAATATATATTTTAGTGATAGTATTGCATCTCTGACCTATGACCCAGAGTTTTAAGGCTGTCATTATCCATTTGCCTATGTGTTGTTGCTGGCATGTCATGATCTGCCTCTGTAGAGAAGGAATAGAGTTCTAGCCAAATGTGTGTCTCGGTCAAGTTCCTCAACTCACAAAAAGGATGTCAGTCCCCGCATTATCCCCCACCTGACTATAAAATATGTGACTCCACACTAGCCAGTTGCATAGCTGTACTCCAGTGTTTGTCAAAGAAATAACCTTGAAGTTATGTTGCCCAATGTTATTTTTTCTTTTTTTTTCTTTTCTTTTTTTTTTTGGGACAGTCTTGCTCTGTTCCCTAGGTTGGAGTGCAGTGGCATGATCTGGGCTCACTGCAACCTTGGCCTGCTGGGTTCAAGCGATTCTCCTGCCTCAGCCTCCTGAATAGCTGGGATTACAGGTGCGTGCCACCATGCCCAGCTAATTTTTGTGTTTTTGGTAGAGACGGGGTTTCCCCATGTTGGCCAGGCTGGTCTGAAACTCCTGACCTCAGGTGATCCGCCTGCTTTGGCCTCCCAAAGTGCTGGGATTACAGGTGTGAGCAACCACACCTGGCCCCAATGTTTTCTTAAAAGCCTAATTAAGGAAAACAAAAAATTAGCAGTGGAGGAGTGTCATTTATTTGTGAGTTCCAGAACGGGGTGAGTCATCCCAGGGGATGCACACAATGAAACATTGGAATGTAGGAAGAAAATCATAGAACTTCTATTAACATTTACTGTTATTTCATCCATTTAAATTTTTCATTGTGTGTACATTCTGTAATACAAAAATATATTAGGGCAGTAATTCTATATAATTTATAAATATATAAACAATTTGTAAAGAGGATGTATGCGCAGATTGTTTTTACTGATGGGGCATATGTTCAAAAGGAGCTGGAAGACCACAGCTCTAAAGAGTCTAAAAACTATCCTTTGGTGAAATTAGTCCCAAAAACAGCTATCTGAACCATATCACTTTAACGCATTGTAGCTCTCCTTTTATTGAATTACATTTTGGCTTACATGGAAGAGCTTTTGAAAAAATAATTCTCTGAAACTTGTTGCAGTGCTTAGTGTGCTGGTGCTGAGAATATCATTCTCAACATTACATGGGTTCTCTCTGAAGACTCATGGGAAAAGTTACTTTAAAGTCTAAATAAGAATATTTGCATTTTTCCTAGATAAGATAATTAGCTTAATTTTAAAGACCTAGAAGATATTTCTTTTTAAATAAAAATAAATTAAATGAACCAGTGTTATCAGTGTTTATAAGGAAATATCTGTATCATAAAAATTTTAAATTCAATGCTAAGAGAATTGATGTTACAGTAGATAGTTAAATGCAACTTAGTTCAAATATATATTGTTCTATTATATGTAAATAAAATCAAATGTGGACCAATAATCAGTGTGCATACCTACATAGTTTCCATTGCATCTCTATTAGAACTTATTTTGTTGCCACAGATTGTCAGTGAAGAATCTAAATGCCAGTCTAAGATATTAATATATGTCCATATATATTCTTAAGTGTATATTTAATATGTTTAAATATTTACACTAAATATACATATATTATTTTTTAAAGCAATAACTTTATTTAAAGAGATAACTAAAATAGATGTAAAATTAGAATTTCAAATACAATTGTAAAATATTAGTGAAAAATAGAATATCTTCAAACAATCAGCTACCAAGAAAGTTGAATTATTCAATATTTATAGAGGGCCTATTGTATATTAGATACTATTCTGGCAGTCGGGATAAATCAGTGGATAAAATAACAACCCACCCACACAGAGTTTGTATTCTCAGAAGAGTTCATAAAAAGGAATACCACCCAGGCACGGTGGCTCACACCTGTAATCCCAGCGCTTTGGGAGGCCAAGGCGGGCGGATCACCTGAAGTCAGGAGTTCGAGACCAGCCTGCCCAACATGGTAAAACCCTGTCTCTACTAAGAATACAAAATTTAGCTGGGCATGGTGGTGCACGCTTGTAATCCCAGCTACTCCAGAGGGTGAGGCAGGAGAATTGCTTGAACCTGGAAGACAGAGGTTGCAGTGAGCCAAGATCGCACCACTGCACTCAATCCAGCCTGGGTGACAGAGCAGAATGTCACCCTTGATGTAGTTGTTCAACACTTAACATATTTTTTTCTGTGCTATCCTGCTTTTAAACTAATTTTAAGAAATTAGAACTGTTTATGCAGATGTGCTAAAGGAGAAAAAAAGCCCTAAGAAAAGCTATAAATAGCTTTTCATTTCCAGGTCATGTAAAAATATTAATTTTGCCTATAACAGAGAATGAAATATGTTTAAAGTGCAGTATGGTATAGTAGAAAGAGGATTGGGATC